GGCTTAAGCATAGCAAAAATATCTTTCAGGTTGAATTAAGGATACATGCAATGTTCGCTAGGCAAAGGCATAAAGCTGGATCACACCCGATTCAGCAAAAGACTTCAGCAAATACTTAAGCTTAGTGATTGTAAGAGAATTTAAGCATTTGCTTACAAACTTAATAAAATCAGTCAGTTCTCAAGAGGGAGAATTAGCATACATGAAACAGGTCAAGAAAATATGGTCAAGAGCTTCCCCCTTCTGCTTTCAGTCCCACAGGACAGGAGATAGAAACTGGTTTTCAAATTCCCAGACTTCAGGAACAAAGTTTAGCTAGAATCATGAGATGATGCCTTTCAATGCCCCAGCTCTATACCACATACGTAACTGACAGAGTAAAAGATGGCAAAAATGGTATCCCAGGACAGAGAGCTAAGTGAAAGCCTTGTGGTGGGACAAACAAGTATTCCTACATCATACACAGAGAGACATGCCCTGAGACAAAGCTACAAAACAAAGGAGACTCAAGCTCCCAGAACAAAATCCAGAGCAAAGCCCCAGGGCATGAGACATGCTGTAGCTTCAGAAACCTCAGGGAACACTAACTAGATATGTACATCTGAACAAAGAGCTATACAGAAACATTTCCAAGTTACACACGCGCAGACTGAGGCCATACAAGATAGTAATTACCTAAATGAACTGGGATTTGTACAGCAAAACAAAATTGTTTCAAGAATTCATTCTTACGATGTTTTTCTGAGTGAAAACAAAAACGCTGCCTTTTAAAGAGAGTTTTAAAATACAGTACATACAGGAATAGCAAACACTTTCCTCTAGAGTGGTTTTCTGCCCTCATCACTTTAAAGAAGAAAAGCACAGATGACTAAAGCACAAAAAAAACCCCAAAACTTTTATAGTAAATTGAGATAGTATTACATGCTGGTATAACATAACAATTTAAAAGGCTGGCTTTAGTTCTAAATAAGCCTGCTGCAAAACCAAATATATTACAATAGCTTAATCTATGCAAGGTCAATGACAAGTTTATGAGGGCTTGCCACGATCAGAAGAGGCATCACTATGGTCCAGCAAGTTAACACCACCCCAGTACCATTGAAGCAGGGCAGCATTTTTAGGCTCTCTTTTCTATCAACACGCAGGGAAGTATGGTTCATCAGGCCTCCTTGATGAGCACGCATATATGTCAGCAGGACAACATCTCACTATGAGTATGTACAGCCAGAATACTAGAAAAGTCACATTACAGATACAACCGTGTGTCTGTCTATTAACTTCTATCAAGTTTCTGAGGCTCAGAGTAACAGGGCTGTCCTAGCTCAGCACTGCCAATGCACACCACACTGATGGGTGCAGAAGAGGCCCATCAAGCAGTACGCAGGCAAAACAGCTGTCCTGAGAGACCGTACTGAAGTCAAATGCTTCTACAGACCCCGGTGCACACCAAGATCTCTGACGTTGCCCTGGCAGGGATGCAGCAGACAGTTTCACAAATAGGTTACGAGAGTTCACACAGTCTACGAGAGCTGAGGGACGTCTTCAGAGCAGACCGATCAACCAGCCCATTTACAGCACAGCCCACTCGGGCTCTATCTCCCAGGGCACAATGAGATCGCTTCAGTCCTGAGTAACCTCACTGCTTTTCATCTGAACAAATTTGCCTGGGAGACTTGTTCACATATTCGTTGCTCTCTGTGTGAAATACTGCTTCCTGACATCTGTTCTGAATTTGCGGATCCTTAAATTTCCATTAATTCATCCCTGTAGCCATGCACCCACCCTCCCCTTCAGGGTTAAATTGCAAACAGTAACCTGACAGAGATGGATATATCTCTTAAGGTTTTGTATCCAGACATCTACTATGTTCACTTTTTTGTTTGTTTTTCTTTCCACAGACAATTCCAAGACAGTGGAGTTTGGGCTTTTGGTGCTTTTTTTTGTTGGGTTTTTGGGTAACTTTCTTCTACAGCTCATCCAATTTTCATGCTGGTATCCATCCACTCCATCTAGTGGATTTATGCTACATAATTTCAAATGTTATAATCTTTCTGCAACTAATATAATGGCACCGAATGAAACAGCCTAAATTGGTGCAAGCTAATCTCTGCTTCTTTTCTTTTTGTAACTTCAGATTTTCTTCCACTTGTGCCCTAGGTTTTGAAATATTACTACAATGCTTGCCTGCATTTGTTATTTGGTACTCACTGTTGTGTCGGGGCAACTGGAAAACCCTCACAGAACCGATTCAGGGTTCATACTACAAAGAAGCAGCTGATATCCTGAACAGTTCCAAAATATGATTCTTCCTTCATTTGTACCTTCTGATCAAATTCAGAGTCCACTTTATTTTCAGGTCTGCATAAACTTTATTTTCATGGATGATTTATATAACAAGAAATTTTTGTTTTTCATTTACAAGCATAATACTGGTATTGTCTTGACAAACTCTTGAAAACCTGCATTGTAGTGTTGCCAGCGTAAGGCCTGAGCTGCTGTTTTTACCTGAACACATTTATGACATTATCTGTTTTGTTATGGGGCTTTATGGCTAGACTTGCACGTAATAATGCTTTTATGAACACTCATGACCCCAGTAGTCTTTCCAGTAATGCTTTACCGTGCTGATGCATTATTCTTTTCCAAAATGACTACAGGATCTCTTAAGTGCAACATTCTTTGTTCCCATTCACTCCCTTTCCACGTGACTGTCAGCTGACTAACTTCTTACACATTCTGTCTTGGGGGATGTTTAACTAATGCAAAAAATAGTTACTCCCCATAAGCTGTGGACAGGGTAGTTTTATAGAAAATGCAGGGAGTAATACTTGTCTTGGAGGTAAAATGTATTCTAGGGAGAAAAGATACTTGCAGATCAGCTGGAGTCCATGAAACTCTTTCCACACACATGGATCTGAATCAGTGCATATGATTATGGCTACAGGTATCCTCAAGGTTGCCTGCAACATCCTTAGATGGTCTTACTATATTCTCAGTCCAGCTTAAAAACCACCAGAATCATTCCTGCCTTAAACTGATAACTAAATGAAAATACAGACGCCATTTTAGGCAATAAAGGCAAAATTCAGATCTGAATCAGGATGAACAATGTAACAAGATTATATATAACATTTCTGTGAGCCTCATATAAGTAGTCAGAAAAGACAAGACTCATAGAAACATTCTGAATTTAAGCTACTTGTTGGCTTACTACTTCTCTCAAAATCAGGAAAAAAGCCTCTTGTAAGAAATAATTGATTTTTCAATTTAGTTTTGTTCCCATACCTTATTTTTCTGTCTTCTGTAATACACACGTCATTTCTTTTCAATTATTTAAAAACCATAAAATATACCAGTATCTCGATGATAGTTACACTACTATATACTTTTGGCACTCCATACAGTAGTCTTTTCAACACTCAACACCCTTATGCCTAAGAGCATAAATACTAGTTGAAATATAGTTTCCCATTTTTAACATATGGCACACATATGAAATTATTTGTCTCCAAAACAAGTTTAAAGAATTTGTTACCACAGTCTCCAGCATCATTTATGTACCATCACTTCTGGAAACTCTAAATCTATGTAGCACCTACCCAAGCAAATCTGCAAGCTACCATTGTTATCAACAAACCAGATTCTTCCCCATGGAAGCTGGTAGAATTCCATACTGCAAGTGCTATCTGGAGAACCAAAGCTGCTGTGCAAAGAGGGATCAATTACATCATCTGGTCTAATAAAACGCAGTTATTTCTACTAAACTGTTTCCCTTCTACTTCTAGACCACCATTACTATAGTATTATTACTAATGATTATTGAATGTATATAGTTGATTAAAACCTTCAAAAGGTAACACCTTACTTGCAAACTTAATTACCACTGCGTGTACTTTATCATCTTACTTCATGAAAAAACAAAATTCTGCATTTATTCAGCATACCACATAACACAGCGATTTTCAAATGCACAAGTACCACTTTCACTCAAAATGGGAGATGCTCATCCAACTGACACTTGTATTTACTAGAATTTCTTCAAATGGCCTGACAAATCTCCAAGTCCTTCACTAAGTAGAGGTTCTTCTCTTGAATTTAGTTATATTTCTTGGAAGCACTGAAACAAACAAATCCTTGCACAAGGCCCAACATCAGGTCAACAACACAGGTAGTAGGATTAGATCCATGGTCTCCAGAAGCTCAGTGCTCTAACTACAAAAATGCTGTCTTCATAGATAGCAAGTACTAACCAGAAGTTTTAGTTAAAAGCAGGGAATATTATCCCATGAGGGTGGTTCTGGTAAAATACAGTAAAGCCCTCCAAGACTGCTAGATTTAGGCTGCAACACTCTGTAAATGTCTGATTTACACAAATCTAGGGATAGGGAAATTTTAAGTAATCTGAGACCATGGAAGTACTGATCTCACCTTGTGTGAAAGGGACTCAGAGATTTTAAAAACTAACAATAATCTAGTAATGAAACTAGTAGGCACTGAAAATAAATAAATAATATGCTTATACTTTTCATAATCCAATGCCAAAAGTTTGCCTTTAAATCTCTGTTGCTGTAAAAATTTTATGTATATATAGGTGTGCATATATATACACACACACACATGCTCACACACACACATAAGTGCATATACGTATAGGGGTGTGTGCATACATATATACACCTTATTCACTCAGATACATTTTTTCTTTTCTGGTAGAACTGTGGTTTGTATTTCACCCACTTAACTTGCTGTTTTCAACTTGAAACATGTCCTCCTGTGGGAGGAATGAGAAATTTAACCACTGGTGCAGCTGTTTTGACTACATAGGGACCTGGTTTTTATTAATGGCAAGAACAATACCCCAGAAAAAAAAAATATTCTTTTTTGACAGCTAGGCATCTGATTTAATAATCATCTTATTCTTAGTTGATACAGCTTTTGTAGTCTCAACTTCAAATACATGTGGATCAACAGCAAGAAGGGAGGCAAACAAATATGCTTACCTTTTCTTCACATTTCCTGTGGCAGGCATACTTGCAAACTAAAACAAAAGTAAATAAAATATATGAGTAAAAGAGTGGGTGAATTCTCCCCTCCATTTCTTTAGATCAGCTTTCTACTAGAGTTCTAGCCAAACTTGTCTGTAAATATAAAAAGTATTTACATACTTCAAAACAAACCAAAAAACCCTAGAAAGAAATGCATTTAGTTTTTACCCATTCCTGAAAGATTAGTTAATTACAGCAATGTTATCAGATTTGTGCATTCCATCAGCTTCTGATAATGTATGTCTGGTTAAGCTTAATGGGCTGATTATCTTGACACCTACCTTTACAGCTTCACATGTACCAGAAGCGTTACCATCTAAATAGCACAGAGAGTGAGATCAAGTTGTTCCCAATGTAACCTGTGAATCTTAGTCATATCAGCAGTTCCAAAGAACTAAGAAAAGCAAGGTGACTTCAAACTCACAAGCAACCACGACTGTTCAGACTTTAATTTCTGATTGTGAAATACCGTTTACACAGTGTTGCAAACATTACCTCCAAGAGGTAAGCACTTGATTTCTTTTAAATTCCTGCTGACCGAAGAGCAAGAAAGGATGAATCATACTAGCAAGTTTAGATTCAGAAAACAGCACTTAGCTTAAAAAGTAGCCAGATGAGCAGCGATGTAACTATGATGCAACAGCATAATAGCTAGAATCTGACACAGGCTGGTTTTAATAGATTTTTCTATTTATATGCACTTCCTTCTTTACTCTGAAATTTGCTTTATTTCCATGCAATGTCTATCCTTTGGGTTACTGTGAGCTAAACTGTATTTTAAATTCAGGAAAAATTTACTTATTGAATCTCTAAGATCAGTAAGCCGCAGAATACCACAGAGGTTTAGCTGGAAGATTAACTGGGGCCTAATCTTAGAGCACTGAAGCTGAAAGCCATGCTCATTTCTCAGTGCTTCTACCAAGAGAAAAATATTCTACAGCCTCACCTAACAGTAAAGATACAACTACCAAGATATGAGGTCAGCAAATACATGCCCATGCCCATTTCAGATTCAAGTGCATCAACTGCTGAATGAAAACCCCTCATGCTTTCAGGGGAAAAAAAAAAGTAAGGCTTACTGACCCATTTTCTTATACGATCTGGTAGGGGCTATGTTCACTTATTTTTCCCCAGCTGTAAGTTAGGAACAAGTTCTTTGTTCATAGTGCTTCACAGGATCAAGATTCTTTATTCTAAAAATGTATTGGTTTTCACACAAATACACTGCTTTAACTATTAGCATTGATAATGATCAATAACCACATACCACTTACAAATACTGTCAACCTTAAAGCAAATGGAAGATGGCTTTTAATCCATGAGAAAAAACTTCATTTTCTTGGGTGACAGCACGGGGGATGCCTAAATTCATTAAGTGATTTCATGTGCTGAAACTGCACATTTAGTAGAATCCATATTTTAAATAAGCATGATTAGCTTTGACTTTGCAAAAGGCTAACAGATGCTCTAAAAATACGCATGCATGCTGTTTCTTCTATAATCTACTTTGAGATCTCCTGCAAAATGTTGAAACAAACAAAAAAAAAAAAAAAAAAAAGAGAGACACAATCACAAAAAGTAAAGAATAAAAGAGTAAATCTGTCAGGAAGCCCTGATATTACAGACAAGGTTCTCATCATCTTTACTGATGCTTAAGCCTAGATTTCTGGGGGGCAAGATGAAATATAAAACAAAAATAGATTTCATTCCATGACAACTTCCATGATTTTGCTACTGGAACCAAATCACAAATGTCACCAACAATACACAAAATCTTTATTAAAAAGACATAGATAACAGTAAATGCAGCCATTGAGTTTTTTCAGTTTCCAGGTACATGAAAAGTAAGAGTTTGCTGCTCTCGTGTAACACAACAGTACTGTCTTTGCTGGAAAGAAACCACTGAAGTCAGATGTGAGTTTAGCCTGGATAGCAACAAAACTGAATCTTGCAGCAGCATCCCATTCAAACTCATAAGCAACACCAAAATATGGCATACGAACTCCATACATAGTTAAAGGGAGAACACTTTACAAACAAAGCATTGCTATATTTATGAGATTCAAAGGAAACAAAGACTAAAGCCTCAGGAGATAATTAGCCAAATATACATCAGGCAAAGCTCTCTGACTGAAACAAACCGTGTATTTTTTCAGGTATTTAAATCTATAACATTCTGAGGATAGAGATCTGATTCATTCATAAAGACAGCTTCACTCCTCCTCAGCATCCAGAAATACCCTATTCATATCTAAATCCAGCACTTTCATGGATTAGACTGAGTTAAGTCATTACCTTCTCTACCTCACTGTCTAATAAAGATGATTACGATAATAAAACTGGATAGAAATAAGCACTTTGAAATGAGATCACTGACTGTCCAGATGCTGGGAGCAAACAAAGCCTTCCTTTGTGCTCAGAAGCAGAAAGGGGATTCTCCCCCTTCCCTCTTGGGTGAACGTCAAACTGCTCATTGCATACGTTGCTCCTAAAATGCACACCAGCTACCTCCCAACAGAAATGGATCTTCAAGCGTAACCGATCCAAACACCAATTCCCTTTTCCGGACAGGTCTGAATTTCACTAGCAGACAAAATCTCTGCCCAGAACAACAAAACTTAAAATGATTGAGCCCATTTTGACAGACTGTTCTTGGCATTTACCAGATGCTCAAGTGTTCAAAGCATTTCGCGTAATCTATGTATGTCCCACTGAGGTAGGGCAAACATCACAAGTTTTCATTTGCTGGTAAGGTAGTCTTTTTATGTATAGAAAGATATATATAAGTGTGTGTGTGTATAAACTTTTACAAATATATATACATGTGTAAACATATGTACACAAATATATACATGCATATGTACACATATACACACACTCCAAAAACCACAAAAGTCTTGTTTGTAGTAAACAAATCCACTTGCTAAAACCAACTAAAAAAAAAAAGCAAAAAAGAAAAAGGCTGTTAGCATAGAACATTGCTTAGGAATTAACAACTGATTGGAAGAAAGTATACCTTGGATCACTAACCTGCAGCCAATTATCAGTTTCTAGATGATAATTCCTACCAACAATTATATTGCTAGTGTGGTAGTCATGAGAATAAACTTTGAGATTGTTTTTAAAGCACAGATAGAATTAAGTCAGAGTACTTTTAAATTAATTTGTCCTTCTATTTTCTTGTCTCCTTTATTTCCCACACCTTCCATCCCTTCTCCAGAAGAGAAGGGGAAAAAATAGGAAAAAAATTAAGTCAGAGTACTTTTAAATTAATTTGTCCTTCTATTTTCTTGTCTCCTTTATTTCCCACACCTTCCATCCCTTCTCCAGAAGAGAAGGGGAAAAAATAGGAAAAAAATACACACACGCTCCCTGCCCCCCGCGGGGGGGGGGGGGGGAGGGGGAGTATCACCAGCATTTGAAAGAAAGGGAGGTATCAAGAAAATACCATGAATTGGGTATGAGGAAGCATGCAGGCACATAAAGAAAGGCTGAATGGAATAAGGGCCATGTTGCAGCAGCCACAACTCTCCAAGTATCTGAGCATAGAAGAGTTAGTGGAGAGAAGCACCATTACCTTGCCAGGCACATCCTTTTACAATGCAATTCATATGGCTTTTTCTGCACTATAGCCGCTAACATCATGAACAGTGAGAGATCCCTTCACCAACACTAGCAAATTAACCACTCACCCACAGAGAAAAATCAATTTGCTTGATATTTCGATACTTAGAATTCATCTTGCCACAGCTAATGCTATTACCTCACAGAACTATCCTACCTGGATGGTTGCACCCCCTCAGCCCAAGGCTGGTTTTGTCTCAGCCTAAGCATTTACAGTACTTGCAAAGAGATGGATTACCTCCATCATTAGATTGCCGGAGAGACTGAATCATATTTCAATATGCCAGCTGTTTTTATAGAAAGCCTTGAATAGTAGAGAGATGCATTTCCAGAAAATTTCTAAGGCCAAAAAAGCAGTATTATACCACAATCATGCAACCCATGTCTTTTCAGTGCAACAAACATGCAATGCAAAAACATATGAACAACTGAGCATACTCACAGCACATCAATTGTTAAGGAAAATACATGCCACTTACAGTTAAAAGATCTCAACAAGCAGCTTCTACCGAACGCTGGCATTCTTCAGGCAAAGCTTACAAGCGAAATAGCACTCAGCTCTTTTCAGGACTACAGCCCAAGTATATTCGAATTTAAAATGTGTCTGAAACAGTCTGGAGGACTTAATCAATGTCACACTTAGCAAGGCTACTTCAGTTCTTCAACTGAACAGCTGAATGTCTGCATCCCACACATCAGCTCTCATCAAATACCAGACTTTCCAAATTTGTGCTTAAGGATTGTGGCATCAGTTCCAAGAACAACTGTCCCAAGCTGGCTGGCAATGAAATGGAGGCCAAGCCATATTTAGTCAATATACTACACTTCAAAGCAGTTCCTAAACAATAGCTCTGAGAAACCATTTTTTTTTAAAAGGGGGAGGAAAAAATAATTTAAAAAAAAGACATTTCTTTGCATCAAAATGAAGATGTGTTAACTCCTGCAAGTTAACAGTACTGCTGCCAGGGTATAGGCAGAAGGATAAGCATAGCGAATCATATTTTTCAGACTTAAGCTCCAAAATTTTTATGAAATGAAAGTTCTACTTCTTACATTCATGCATAAGATGCTCTCTGAAAACCAGTAGCAATGTATTTACAAAGTAAGAAAGTACTTCTGTAAACTAACCACAGAATGATTTATGGTTTACCAGGACAAAGAGCTTAAGTTTTTCTCCATATATATATTCCATACAAACATTCTGTCACACTGTACGTGCAGTAAATATTAAAACATGACTAGTTTATAAGGACAACCTCGCACTTAACCACAGCTTTTATCAAGTGATTCTCCAAGTGATTCTTCTTGCGTGTTTGTTTTTAAACAACTATGTATGGCAAGGGTACAAACAAGGTAATTCAGAAATTCT